GCAACCAGCTGTGGCACGACGCATTTGAGGAGATGCAGAAGCTTGACTCCACCCTGGATGTTCGGACTCCCAGACTCGAGTGTGTGGCTAGAGCCCAGCTGCCCAGCTGCCCTCTGAAATGAAAGGCCCCAACAAACATGACTTGGTGCACTGAACCCGGCCAAAAAGGAAAGCATTTTATGTGTGTTGGTGGGGGTAGGCCGGGTAGGCCCATACAGCACAGGTCGATATGCAATGATGGACAGGCCGAGCTCTAGCGAGTATAGTCCGGATTGCTTTGCTGCAACCTGGCGGTGGTCCGGTGCACCAGTTTCAACTGACAAGCTAGTTGTGTATGCCAAGCCAAGGCCAACAAAAGTACACCAAAATGAAACAACTGCGTGATTGAATGTATTTGTTTTCCATTTTCTTGCATTAAGGTCATGCTTCAGAGACCCAGACCCCCCCCCCCCCCCCCCCGCCCCCCCTGAATGGATAGCGCTTTTGATTATTAGGTCCAAAGGCGCGGTAGCAGTTTGGGGTCTTTTTGTAGTGTCTTGCGAGTTTCATGGGAACCGCTCAGCGATTCGATCGGCCATCGGCCAGGAGCACCGCACTTTGGTGCGGGGACTACGCCACGACTTGGAGAAGGCGGGCTTTTTTTTTTGGGTTATCGAAGGGCTTCGATTCCAGCCGTACCGCGGTCGGCTGCCCTTTGGTGCAGCGGTCCAGGGTTTCTACCCAAGACGTGTTGAAAGGCCATCGCTCGAGGCTTCGAAGTGTAACCATGGGACCCGTTCCTAGCCATTAAGCAGGAACACATGGCTGTTGTAACCATGGTAAGGGGACAAGTTTCCGTTCCTCCCAGTTGTAACCATGGTTAGGACCTACTTACTTCGCAAGTTGAACATCCAAGTACTTAGCCGACAACTATTCAACTTGGCCGACACATGTGTACTGCTCGATCCACAGGCCACATTTGGGTTCATGATTTGTATCTGGTATGTGAGTGTTTGCTTTTGAGGGTATCGCTTGTCGCCTGAAAGGGAAGCTAAAGAGAAAAGGCCGATTTCTTTTGGTGTCCCTCTAGTTTGACGCAGACCCATGCATTGAGTTTGGCTGGTGCATCCTCAAATTTGGACTGGCAACTCTTTAAGTTTGGGCCACAACAGCTTAGTCTTAAGCCAACCAGGAGTTGGCGTTGGGTTCCTTTGCATTCGTTTGGCTTGGTTTTGAGTTTGCCAACAGCTTGTTCTTTTCAGGGGCTGGCCTTTGACCCTAGCCTCTCATCCCCAGAAAAGGTTGGTCCCACTCCGCCCTTCTCTTGATCTCGCTCTTTCTCTATAGCATGTTTGTGGCTGGGAAGCTCCATGCTCGGACAAAACCCATGACAGGTAGGTTGTTGGCATAGACTTCACGGGGGCAGCTGGGCTCAGTTTTATGACCATTACTGTTACTCCCCAGGGGCACAGAACATCACCAGGCAAGAGGACGTTTCGTGTAGCGCACGGTTCAGCCGTCCCTTTGGAGCCCTCTGAGCGACCATAGTTTTAGCTAGGGTAACTCGGGAGAACCCTAGTTTGTCCCCATAACCGAAAAAATAACTCTTTGTAGAGGCGGGGCCCTTTTTGGGTTCTGTGTTAATTTGAAGGGGAGTAAACCCTATACAAACCATAGGCAAACCACAGTTAAGCCGTACCACAGTCAAGTAACAGCTAAGCCATGGTTAAACCAGTGTGATGGCTTTGTTCCCTTGGCTGAGATCACCCGGACTCGCGGAACTGGGACTGGCCAGGCGCGCCAGGAGCTGAGCGACGAGCGAGGCGCGGCGCTCGGCACGACGCTCGAGTTTGGGACAAAAGCGTTTTAAAGCTGTTTCAACGGGTATGGGTCAAACATAGGTACCCGAAATGGAACCCTGGGAAATGGAAACCTGCGGTCCCCTTTTGGTTGAACTTTGATCCATGCCCAAATGGAAAGCAAAAGGAACACTAGCACAAACAGGAGGGTTGGGTTATCCGATTTGTTGACATACACACGCACACAGACATGAGCAACTCTAAACACTTGGCGCAGTTGGTCGGTTGAGTGCAGGGGTGTTTGGGGTGCTCTCCAACTCCAATCAATAGCTCCAGTCTTTTATGTCCTTTGCAACGCTGTGCCTCAATTTGTGGGTCAGCAGGACATAGCAGTTCATAGGCAGACATGCAAAGTTTCAAGCTCTTGTGCTGACCGCGCCAAGTGTTGACCCCGGTTGATAGCACCGCCCAATGGAGCGGTAAGGCTTGTTAAGCGTTGCCAGGGTGAGCGTTTATGGCAGCGGTTGCAGTTCCCCTCAAAACCTGTTCAATCTCCTGGCGGTTTCCAAAAAAACGATCACCACTTTGGGGGACGCAAACAAATGGAAATCGAGAGACCCCTGTATGAGACACTCCACGAGAAGTATGGCCCTAAAACTAGATGTGGAGATTTTGTTTACCCGACTAGTCTATTACATTATCCACAGGACAATTTAAGGGTTGCCGACCCCCAACCATAGCCTTTCCCTTCTGGGGTCCGAATAAAAAGACAGAATCATGTATATAAAGAAGAAGATAATTAGGACGATTGATGATGATGATGGCTTACCATGATGAGAAAATTATGATTTTACCTGATGAGAACGATGATGATTGCATCCCCAGCATTGCACGCGTTGCCGAACTTCACATCCAAAATCTAGAAACAAGAGAATGATGACGACTGATGATGACGATGATGATGATGCTGATGATGATGATGATGATGATTATGATGGCTTACCATGATGAGGATGATGATGATAATGATGATGATTGCATCTCAGCATTGCAAGCGCTGCCGAACGTCAAATCCAAAATCTTGTGCCTGACGTGACATCCAAAATCTACGACGATGATGATGAGGATGATGATGATCCCGATGATGATCCCGATGGTGATCCCGATGGTGATCCCGATGGTGATCCCGATGGTGATGATGATGATGATGAGATGATGATGATCACCATCATGATAGTGATATTCACAATGATGATCGGTGCCTCACATGACATGACGACGCCGATGATGTCATCAGTATGATGATGATCGCGATGATGATGATCACGATGATGACGACGATGATGATGATGATGATGATGATGATGATGATGATGATGATGATGATGATGATGATGCCGATGATGCCGATGATGATGATGATGATGATGATGATGATGATGATGATGATGATGATGATGATGATTTTGATGATGATGATGATGATGATGATGATGAGGACGCTGATTACCATGATGATGATGATGATGATGATGACAATGATGAGGAGGAGGAGGATAATGATTCGTGCGCCCTTTGCAAGGGGTCTCTCAAACATGGTTAGGTTGAATGGGAGACCCAAGAACTTCCATTTCGCTCGAGAACACATAGAACCCTGAAGCCAACTCAAAGGGGATGTGTGCCAGGCCGGTCCAACACCATGGAGGTGGAGATGGCTGCCGCAAAGAAGGTTGGTCGTTTTTTGGGCTGGCGCCCCTTTGAAGGGAAACCAAAAGGAACAACGAAGCCATGTTGGGGAGTCCAAATCCTAAAGAACAACCGAACAGCCTTTAGGTTTTTGATCAGCTTTTGGGCTCAGTTGCCCAAAGCGAATCGGCCTGAAATGATCTTTTGATTCTCCAGTTTTCGTCCATGCTTAGTCAAGGTCAGAAGAGGGCTTTTTTCCCCCTTTGGGATTTGAGTCTAGCTCCTTTTGGGGTTGGCTAGCAGTGGGAAGCAAGAGGAACTGCACTACTTTCCGGGTTCTCAATTTTGACACATATATCAATTTGACAGCGAGCAAAACACTCCAACAGCTGACTTAGAGGATCTGAACCGTTGTTGAACAATTTTAGTAAATCTTCGCCAGCATTTAAGAAGAACTCCTCTCCACAAGATTGAGCAATCCGGGGTCGACATTATAGAGGGTCCCTCTGGCTGGGGCTTCAGGAAAGGGGGGGGCGGCTCAAGGAGATGGGGCTCACTCCAACCAGTTTTGCTGTTTTCTCATGTTTGGACACACGCAGATGGTCAAAACCTGAAATCTGGACATTCGACAAGCCGCAAAAACAGGGAGCTTTGTTCTTGACCACGGTTCACATATATGTCTATCGTTAGCACTTTAGCCCGAAAACCTTCCAGTTGGTAGTGCCGTTTCGACCAATTTCGGGCGCCATGGTTGTCGATGCCTGATGTATGCGAATTGGAACTACATGTCCAGGAAGCTTTTGAGACGGTGTGCGGCTACGGAGCGGGTGTGCACGGTGGTCTGCTTTGTCGGCATGGCTTGATGCAGGTTCCTACGATAGCTATGAGGGCACTTTGAAGCTCCCACAAAGATGCAGGAAGCGGGGTGAGACGAGGGGCATGGCACTTACTTGGTGATCATTGGCGCAAGTTTGGCAGTTGGGCAATGCCGCGGTCTGGAAATCAGTGTGTGTGTTTTTTATGTGGTGGCCTCTTCGCTGTTCAACCACGCAGGTGTCAATTCCATGGGCAAGTTCTTGTGTGGTGGTGTGGGAGGATTGGGGCAGACTATCGGCGCTCTGATTCCTCTTTTGGGAACTTGCCCGGTCAATCTCGGTGTGGATATGCTGAGGAGGCGGGTGGTTGCCTACGTGGTTTTCTACCACACGTCGATGTAAAAACTTGGTCATTTTGCCCAACGAGCCATTGAGCAGCAGCAGTTAGAAGTCGCAGGCGTTCGTGATCCTTTGGTGCAGGTGCAGCAGCAAGAGGCCTGTGGAGGACTGGAGGCCAATATCGCCGTCAAGCAGAAGTGCTCACGAACGGAGTGAGCTGCTTGCAAGCTTCCATGGCGAAGTTGAATTACAAGCGCAAGAGCAACATCGTTCAGCCATTGACATGTTGCATGAACAGCAGAGGACATTGGTGGAGGGTGAGAGTTGGTGCAGTGGTGATGCGATTCTGGTTAGTGGTGAGCAATCCGGGCCGGTTTTTGCAAGTGTTGGCGTGAAAAGTGCAGATTACTTCCAAAGTGTATTATGCGAACTACGTTGCCCAGTTATGTGCATGTTTCGGTCGATCAACTTGTGGCAGGGGCACGAACATCACAGAGTCTGCAGGTGTCCCTTTGGTGCATGTTGTTTTTGTGTGTTTGTCGCCTTCTGGAAGGCATTGGTTGCCTCCGGGCCCGTCATGTGCTTATCTGCCGGTGTCACATATTTCTGCCGCGGACCTTGCAGAAACCAAAAAGGTAGTCTATTGTTAGTGGGGTGGGCCACCTGAATTTCGACCACAACTGGGCCAGAGCGCCGCAAAGTTCCAGCTCATTTCAAGGGTCAGGCCAAGCAAAGGAATGGACCAACAATTTCGAAGCGCGGGTGTGGTTTTGACCTGCTCGCACTTGGGCAACAGAACTGCGGTGGCCAATGAGCAGAGGGATCGGGCGCCTTCAGTTTCAGACTAGCTCAGGGTTCCGACTTTTGTCAAGTTTTGAAGCAGATGCTGATTGGCAGGAATTGCAAGGCTTCCTAGCGCGCGCGCCGGTTCCATGACCCCTGGTTCGGACCAACTGCGTCGCAAAATTGTTTGTTTGCTGACTTGAATATCGCTGGGTCCCCCACCCCCAGCAAAATGAGTTGGGTCCTGGTTGCGTTTTTGCGCTTCGCGCTCTGCGCTTTGGCGAGGGCAAGGCCCGGACACTGCAGTTTTGGGGTCTGTCCCTGTTAGTGGGGAATCATCATCACTTTTAGAGGAGAACCCCCAGCGCCCGAAACCTCAACCGTCGAAACCGCCAACTCTCGAGCCAAAACCGCGAGCCCTGAAACCCGCGACCGTCAAAAGCCCAAAAGCGACACCCGACAGCGCGACCTGAAGAGCCCAAGCCCCAAGCAAACCCCCAAACGCCAACTCTGACTTCAGCCTCGACGCCCAAAGCCGTAGACGCCCAACCTCGAAACACCCTCAACCCAACCCGCGACCCTCCGCACTCGCGCCATTAAAACGGCGAGCTCTGCAGCCAAACCCGCGAACCTGAGCCCCGAGCCCGGAGCCCGAAAATCCGAAGCATTGAAACGCCGCACCGGAACGCGCAAGACCTAAACCCTAAACCCTAAAAAACCCAAGCCCTAAACCTGAAACCCGAGACCTTGAAAATCCAAGACCTTAAAACCCAAAACCCCGAACCCTAAGCCCGAGCCACGAAACTCCCAAGCCCTAAATGCCAAAGCTCCTAAACTATAAGCCCTAAACCTGAACGATTGGACTCGGGCTCAGGGAAAGATGGACAAGGGGCCTGGAAACACTCTGGCCCTGTCACCTGGCTTTTTGCTCAGATGGACAAGGGATACACTCCAGCGTGTGCAGCTCTGGGCTCGGATTTTGGCATTGCCCGGCCGAGCATGGCACTGCTTGAGCGGCGGCGAAATCGAGGGCCACTGAGGCGACGGGTGCCGGGGTTTCGTTCTTTCTTTTGGTACCAGGGTTTCAGGGTTGGTTGCATCATGTGCCAAAGCCAGCTTTTGTTTGTTTGAGCCAAAAGTGTAAAGCATGGGGTTGGCGCAACTCTGGTTGAAGACGCCTCAGAACCGGTGCGGTTGGGGCTGATAAGCCTGGTGAGCCGCTGATGAAGCAATATCATATGAAACATGTGGTGTGATTTTCCCGCAAGCTCATAGCGACATGAGATTTGGCCAACAAATCCAATACACAGTGCTTCTTTTGTCAGGGACATGGGGGAACTCATTGAGCTACCCGCAAAAAACAATATGGGCAACGGACACTACATTGCTGAAGACAATGCCTACCCAATAGAACCTACTGTCAATATTGTCCGTGGCTGTTCACAATGCTCTGAGCCAGTCCCAACCGAGGCAGCAGTTCGCCGGCGACGGGCTCAGCGTGCAGGTCTCCGGAGGAGAGGCACAGGACAGGCGAAATGCAAAATGGGGGGACATCAGAATTTGCGGGGGAGGATTCATGTCCACTTTGGAGGTTCCCTATTGAAACTATTGGCCAAACGCATTTTGAGGTTAGGAAGTATTCAAGCAACTTGTTGTGCGCAAATTCTATCGGCGCCCGGAAAAAGGGGGTCGGTGGTGACGTCACAAATTTCTTTCATAGGGATCCCTTGTTTTCGGTGAGAACATTGATCATGGTTAATTAAAACAAGTATAATAAGTATGTATTAAACACCATATAAGTATATAGAAGTATATGTAAGTATGTATACGTATTTTACGAGCTGTGAACTCCGCATAGGAATGAATCCCTATGACAACTGGTTGAACAACCACCAACTGGTGCCCGGCATGGGTTTTGTTCACATAGCCATGACATTTCGCGGTCGGAACAGCAACCATTGGATGAAGCCTAGTGTAAATGTCCATGACACCCAGTTCGGGGACGCCCGGACATGCTTGGGTTCGTTGCTGCTCCGCCGTGAAGCATTCTGGGCGAGCAACAAATGGAAATGCCCAGGGGTGTTGAGCCGGACGCCAGAATCAGGTATCCGGAGTCAAATAGTTTTCCTTTCATTTCCCTCCAAACCGATCGGTCCCCTCAAACAATGACAAACTCGTGTCTTTGAAGTGATTCTTCAGCCGATGCGCGCGGGCTGAATTTCATGCCTATTTGGTGTCACCTCCTTCAGGACAGGTTATCACGAGCATTTTGCAGCGTGCAATTCTGTCCCCACACATTTTTGTTCTGGGATATTTTTCACTGAGTGGGGAGGGGGGGACAAAAAGACTATGATCTTCCAGGGACAAAAACACCTAGAAGAAGAGGGTGCTTGGATATTTTTCGCTGGGCCTTCCGAGCAGTATGCTTCCCTTGTTCACGGCGATTGTTGAGCATGAGCACCTTCCGGGGGAACCTAGGCAAAGGGGCGGATATGAGCAATGGCCAAGCTGAATTCTCAGACATCGGGGAAATGTCACATGGGCGCTTCAAATCCTTATTTTGACACATGTCTTTCTCAACGTGGGCTCCCTTGAGGCCAGACTTAGACCCTCTGCGAAAAGTCAACTTTTTGCTTTCCCGCATCTTGATGTTCGGAAACATGGCTGGATATAGCTGAACCAGGATTCGGGGGCAGATAATGGGAGCGGTATGCAGTCGCAAGTCGCATTGGAGGCGCCGCCCGAGAACGCAAAACTACTCAAAGTTTCGGGAGAGCTAGATCTAAACAGCGGAGAGATTCCCGGCCAAAAACGGCACACCAAATGTAGCCCAGCTCTGAACCGTTGCCTTTGGATCAAATCGACTTCAAAGATCACAAGCGGGCAGACCCGAAAGTGAAGGGCGACGGCATCAATAGCAGCAGCCAGGAATGCTCAAGGGGCCCAATTAAGGTCTCCAAGCAGGCCTCAAGGAGCGGGAAGTTCAAAAAGGAGCATACGGAGTAATACGGAGTGCTGAAGCCCGACCACAAAGGACGTAGCAAGCGGGCGCACCTAAAACGCATCTCCAGGAATCAGGCGTGGTAGTAGTAACAGGGTCGTGCGC